AAACAGAATTTGGCTGAGTGAACAAAGTTTCGTTGCTGGAAAAAACTGAAAGTTTTGTCATTTCACTGGAGGCCACAGTAGGCATTTATCTCTAATTATGGCCTTAAAAATTAAGAGGTATGGAACATCATTGCATATAAAATTTACAAAATATTGTCCATAAACGTATTGTTACCACAGAAAGCTCTGTAATTAATGGTGAAACATTATTGTGAGAATTGTCAAAGTTTATGTTTAATTATAAATGAAGTTTCATTAATAAGAAAATGAAGTATAGTATACAAACACTAATAAACGTAGAAAATTTAAGGTGCCGATAATATTATTCTGTAAAGAAAGTGATACACTATATTAAAAATGACTGAGATGAATCATCTCAGAAAGATTAACATATTTCAGTATCTTAGAAGTAAAAAAAGACAATGGTGTTTAACTAATCTTTGTAAAGATGAAAATATTTTGAAATAAATTTAGTTTCTTTAAAATATGTCAAATTTTAGAATAGTGCTTTTAAGCTATTTTTAGTTTAATTTTTATACTGTAACGTATTCAAAAAATGTGCTAATAAATATGTTATCGAAGGGTATATTACATTTCATCAAGTTGTGACAAAAAATGAGCAAACAAAAATATAACTGAATTTCTTATGGGTCAGGTATATTATAAACAACAAATACATTTACTGAAATTTGGCCTATCTACAGAAAAACTGGCTAAATTGATGCAAATAAGAAATCACTTAATAAAATCTTCATATAATTCTGAGTCAGTTGACACTTTCAAATCTTTTGGCCTCAAGCACAAGATTAAAATCCAACCTAGCTCTCATACTACTTTGCCTTCTCTGTTATCCTTTTCAGAAATATGCCCATCTCGAATAAAAAGCAACATATTTTAAATAACTACTCAAATATGTCCTACATCACCTTTAAACTCGTTATCGTCAAATTATTAAAGAGAAATTTTGTCCCAGTTTCAAATCTGGAAATAATTTCAAGTGCTGAAATACAAGTTGATAAATTATAAAGTAGGAAACAAACACTCTTATTAATATCTTTTTTTTTCCTATTTTGTAAACATTCCACTAGTTTTGATTTCTTAAAGCATGGAGGTGGCATTATGCTCTCTTGATATGGATTATCGAGTCAAAGATAAACCTGTTATCACTCTTGTTCATTTCCCTTTGCTTACCTCACTGCTTCGTAATATATCTTGTTTGATTTTTAAATCAAACAAATAACAAAAATCTGTGCTGAATAAGAACATATTTGGTGAAATTCAACTGAATAGAAAACAGAAATGTACAGTAATAATAATTTTAAAGTTTAAAATTTAAATGATGAAAGAAAATCAAGACCTAAACATATACAGGTATATACATGATATTTACAATGAAACCAGGAACTTGAAAATGAATACAATTTTAATACAGTTGCATTAATAATATGATATCAGGAACAGTGTTATATGACTTGTAACAATGTAATCAACTTGACTAACGAACGTGTCTTTTCATACTTGTAAAGAAATAATACATGAGGCATTTAACAGAGGAACATTACTTACCACAGACTTTATTATCAAAATAGTTACTGACATAAATAAACCAGAAATGTTTAATACAGTTATAATGAAAAAATGTTTAAAAAGTAATATTTTCATTAACAGATACCATAAAACTTCTTAATCACATGACCTCACACTGCTTATCACTTCAAATTGAGCTTTTTCCAAATGAGAATCTGTCTCTTCTCATTGGTCATGGATTCTGAAGATTTTTAGTAACAGACTACTGAGGTATAAATGCAATGTCTGGAACCTCAGGCCAAATGAAGAGAAGTATTCCTGACTGTGTTGAACATGTTTGGCCCATGAAGTCCACTTTGTAGCCACAATCTGTCAATACTTCTATTATTTTTCTGTTTATGGTACCTTTCCTTTTCCTTCATTTTAGCTTCTTCTTAAAGCACAGGGTCATTTTTTTATTCTTGCTCTATGCTTCATTTTAGCTTCTTCTTAAAGCACAAGGTCATTTTTTATTCTTGCTCTATGCTTCATTTTAATTTTAGCTTCTTCTTAAAGCACAAGGTCATTTTTTATTCTTGCTCTATGCTTCATCTTTAATTCTTCATAAAGTACAGGGTCATTCTTAATTCTTGCTCTATGCTTCATTTTAGTTTCTTCAAAAAGTACAGGGTCATTCTTAATTCTTGCTATATGCTTCATCTTTGCTTCTTCAAAAAGTACAGGGTCATTCTTAATTCTTGCTCTATGCTTCATTTTAGTTTCTTCAAAAAGTACAGGGTCATTCTTAATTCTTGCTCTATGCTTCATCTTTGCTTTTTGTTATTTGTATCTCACTTCCGCTAAGCCTTTGTCTGAAAAGTTTCTTCTTTTTGCCATGACTCTTCTTGAATCTAAAATAAGTAATAGATCAATAGAATAAATATTGAAGCAACTTAAATCCATCAAGGTATACTTAATATACAATGCATTCTATAATCTCAAGAAAAATTGCAAATGCATTAAAGTTGACATGTAATAGATATTGGTTTATACAATAAAACATCAGAGAGGATTCAAATGCACATATAAAGAAAGGCTGATTTTTGTCTTTTGGTAATATGTATGTTATAATTCTTAAAAACAGCAATATTTAATCAATCTTTATTGCATTTTCCAGTTTTGTTCACCTCCATGGGATAAATGCCCCCATCATGACTATTACAAAGCATGTGGGGGGACATTTTGAAGGTTTACTTCATGTATTGCTTAACCTAAAAATAACTGGAGCACTTGGCTTGGGAAATTAACAGTTCTGAAGTTATATAATGTTTAATTTAAAGAAGCCATGGAGGTGTTGTAATAAAAAATAACTCTCATCTAAATCTATATAAAGTGGAAAGAAAGTAGTCAAAAATCCTTACCTGCAACAAACTGAATTCACAATGGCTGCCTTTAGCTTTCATCTGTTTCATCTGAATGACTAACAACACAATCTAGTGAACGTTTTAGCAGTTACAAGTGTAACCCATGGAGATGACATCAAAACAACAAACTTCACTTTAATTAACATTAGAAAAAAGTAAATAATTAATTTTTTTAAAACTTATTTCAGAAAAGTCTAATGAAGTCTCTAGCACTGTGTGTAAGATTCAGACAATTGCATAAAGACTGTTATAAGAAATACACACTAAAAAACATGGTCACCTGGAAGGGCTACATACCAAGGAAGTGACAAATTATAGTACATTCAAATAAAATATAATCTCAAATTTTCTCAACAAAAACATTTATTTTCAAGCAACTGATAACTACATCTAAGAACATTTTTCAAAAATGTATTTTTAAAAGTTAGAAAAACAGTGGTTCTGTGAATTGTCCCTATACTTAAGAATCGGTGCTTTATCGTTTACCTTATTCAACTCAAAATCTCCTTGTTGCCCTACCTATTCTATTAATTTGTTTATTCTCAATTTCCCAAGTTCCCTCACTACTAAAAAAGTTTAATTTAAATTAGGTTTAATGAATATATTTATGGCTTCCACAGACATACTAATATCTAACATGATTATGTGGAACCTATATCTAGTATATAAGTCATCCTTATTCTGAAAACTACAACAGGTAAACCAGCCTACCTGTAAGTGTTGCTCTAAGCATATCCCTTGAATTCTGCCAAGTATTTCATTCTTGCATCAAATCCAAAGAAGCACTCCCAAAAGGACCACATACATATTCTATGCCTAAACTTCTAAAGTACTTCTTTAAACTTTTTAAGTATCTCCTCTGATTTATAACTTCCAGTATCATTAACTACAAAAAGATAATGTTCACGTACTGGATCTTTCTATGTCTCCTGAGAGTTGCAATCAAGCCCACAATTCTCAAACCTATCATACCTTATAAATTCCATCCCACTTATCTCTAAGCTACCTCTAACCATAGTGCAGTTTTACTGGTTTTCATTCTCTATTACCAAATTACCCACCCAATAATTGTACAATTAATTAAAATTAATCTATTCCACAATTTATAGGTTATAATGCAAATATAAATATCAAAATATCTTTTTAACTGGTGATAATACTATTAATTACTAGTAATGCAACTATGTGCACAAGATTCATAAAATAGAATATTATTATTTTTTATTCATGAAAATTAACAAAATGTTAACAATGTAATAAAGTTACCATTGAAAACAAAACTTGGACCTTATACAGATATTAAAGTTTGTCTCATTTTTCTTTAAAAGTCAGTCTGAAAACTCATCAAAAGTTTATGAAAAAAATAACCCAGAAATATAATACAGAAAATTAACATAGCATATATCATACTAACACTCAGCTTTTCAAGCTGCAAAAATATACTGTTAAGGACAATCAAATTATGTATTTAAAAATAACAAACTTCCTCTGAACCTTTTATGCAACAAGAAATTTGTTCAGTCAAAGTAAAACACTTTGACTAAAAGGGTAAAGCACATGTGATGAAATTTTGAACATAACTGAAATAATTTAAAAAATATAAAACAATTTAAAATATTTAAACTAAAAAAATTAAAGTGTACATGAACTTTTTAAAGGTATTGATTCTCATTTCTGTATAACTTACAAACTTTTTCATTCTTTAGGTGCTAGGCAGATGATTCAGGTTCTATACCATAAGTTAGATTACCTTTATCAACATTCAAATGCCTTACTGGCAAGATCATTATAACACTGTTAGAAAATATAGGGCTAGTTATTTTTAAAATTACAATGCATACAACACTAACCCTTAAACCCAATTGCAAAAGGCTATCATTATGGAATCCTTTAATCATCTATGCTTTAGTAAACATAAATACATGTGATACTGACTGGAAACAAGAAATAAATCATTCAAGCTAAGTTGATAAAAATAAAATCAGTTATTTTACACACAATTTTCAAAACAGAAACAGTTTTTTTTAAAAGTAAATTTATAATGTTTTAAAAACCTTTCATGCCACTTACATTGTGATCAATGTTGAGTTTCAGCTTTCGCTGTGCCACTGTTTTCTGAATACGTTTACTGTAACTGGCATTTCCAGCAACTCGAGAACAGCGGTTTCCTTCTTCCAGGAGGCAACATATTTGATTATGACCAACTGGTGTATCTTCTTCAGTACTAAAACCATTCATTCTTTTAACTCTGCAAACAAACAAACATTACTTACAAACTTTTGCTCAATGATTTCAACATACTTCAAAAAATAAGTGCAAATGCTGCATCTGTATAAAAACACCATAGTATTCGGAAAGTAAACTAATAGTTTCTTTCCTTTCTTTTTTTACATTTAACCATAAACTAGCATCAAGTTTAGTCTTACAGTTATATACAAGCAACCAAATAGTTATGGTAACATAAATCTAAGTTCTATTCCACAACCAAGTCTTGATAATGAACATAATCACTTCATAATTAAATCAAGAATAAATGTATTAAACTGTTTACATTATACATCTATAATCATTTTCATAATGGCTGCTCAGTCAAGTTTCAATACTGTTTTCTTTGCATCTTAATTTAATAAGCAATTGTCAACAATCAATATTATATAAACTATATTAACCTCTGTACATAAAGCAAAATTTATTTTAATACAATACCCATACTAATCAAGTTTGTTTCACAAACTTATGCAAATCTACAGGACTATCTATCCATCCATAGTTCTGAACTAATAAACTAGATTAAAGGTCATTAGTCAACAACACCCATAAGCAATTCTTAGGTTACTCGTCTTATCTGAATAGTGTGATTTGACTACCACTTTAACAGTGCAACCACAAATGCAAATGTGGAGCTCTTTTTTCCCACAATGGGTCATGAACCACAACTCCTTGGATTCTGAGACAAGGCTCAAAACTAACTTTTTGGTCATGATGTACGTCATGCCCTCAGCAGATACAACTAATCAGCTAAAATGAATTTCCACAAAGCATTGCATTTTAAATTTTATATTTTTTTTTTTATAAATCATTAAATTTTAGGTGTATATGATAATAATTAAATTTTGTACTATGAAAAAAAAAGAAGATATAACACATAAAAAACTTAAACAACCCTTGAACATGCTGTTTGTGTTATCCAAGACTTTGAAAAACCTTGTATTTAACATTAAAAACTAATCTCTGAAGTTATTACATGTTGAACACAAAAACTTAAACAACCCTTGAACATGATGTTTGTGTTATCTAAACCTTGGAAAAACCTTGTATTTAACAATAAAAACTAATCTCTGAAGTTATTATACATTGGACACATACTGGTCTAAGCTGATACAAGATAAAATTTGTTCACTAAACATTAGTGTAAAGATAAAGAGAAAATTGGAAACTGTTACAGGTCAGATAGTTTATATATTTTAATTTTCTTTCAAACACATGACAAAACTTGCCAGAAAACTATAGTAGGCTGGATAATATATCAGAAAATGATTATTCTCTATTTTTTTCACTTCAAATAAAAGACTATATGAGTATAAACTCACACAACATTAGCTTTGTGGAAGGAATAGTGATGCATTGGAAGTGACTGTCTGTAGTAGTAATACTACATTAAATCCCTTGTTTCATACCTCTTTTTGCTGTACTGTTTTAATTTCATCACATGATTCAATCAAAAACAACAATTATGGGTTTAAAGGTTGAAGAGCCACTAGGAATAAGATTGAAACACACAAGTTACGTTTTATCTTCACCAAGGTAAAAAGTAAAAAATAATATTTTTCCAACTTATGAACAGCATATTTGAATATCCTGTGCTGCATCTCGTCAACATGAAACACTGTACACAAAACTGTAAGAAATGCTCTATCTGATGTAGGCCATGGCTACTGCAGATATGCTGAAGTGCAAAATGATAAAACAGTAAAAATGTGTCAATTTTTTCGACCTCAACATTATACACAATTCATTACTATCATATGAGACCAATAAATGTAGACCATGACTATATCTATGCTAGTTGTATCACAATTTCATTACTTATATAATGATGCCATTACAACTATCAATGTACAATCATGTTATTTTTCTGAGTATTATTGAGTCCAGATTGCAAACAGACATTGCCATAACAAGAGCTACCATTGCTTAGGTTGTGCCATTACCAAATAATTATTGATGGCTGGGTTACAACATTTTAAATCATAGACTAGGCCCACTGATTGTTATAGACACAGGTACCTAGATAATTCTACATTCTGAAATGTATTCTGAATTTCATGTTTCAAATACAGCACTGGGCAAATAAAAAGGGCAAGCGGTGACTGAAATTTCCATAACGTTTGATATTATACTTTCAATAACATTTTCATAATCTGCGTATGTTTAGCATTAATGGCATAAACATAGCCCTTAAAATTGTGTTATGAATGGTGTAAACATAATTACCACAGCAAAACAAGAAATGCCAGGGAACGAAATATTACATTTCTGCATTCCCGAGAAATTTAACTTAGCTTGAGCAATTTCCTCGTTTTAGTTGGCTATCCCGATCGGGAATGCATGGTCTATCCATATTCCTTTAGTTAAGACCAATAAAAGTGAACATATTGCATGGATTAAATAAAACACAATTCATGAGAAGAAGCAACTTCACATGATGGAATATAATCTTCCCGATAACTTTCCCTCGAGTGAATTTAATTTAATTTCATTATTTCTATCCTTGAATGTATTGTTGTAATTTGTTCAATCACTAATTTAGTCAATAGGTTATTTTACATTATTTGGTGAAAATAAGGCCAAGTTCAGTCAACATAACAATAATAAACTAGTTTATTTTTTCCTTAATCTACAGAATACTATCACTTGCACACATTCTTACTCATAGGCCTAAGTTCACAAATAATGTTTTCACTTTGAGACTCAATAGATTTACTCACTAATGGTACTACGACTAATTTCCAAATAAACTTGTAGAATTGCACAACTAATCAAACATAAATAATAGCTAACACTTATTCAAATATTTCATTGAATGATTGGCACTCTACTAGTAGAAAACTGACTAGGGCACAGTGATTCTCATACTTAAAATATAGCCTTGTTTCTAGACACTTCACAGTCTCTCAATCTCTAATATTCATAATAATTCTAGGCATTCTACATCTACATTTATAAACATACTTAATCTTAGCATAATGCACCCTCTAGCTAATATCTAAAACAAAACACTGAACACACAGTTTACAACAATTCCTCTTCCTGAACTGTGAAGTTCTTTGAACATTCCTAACATACAAATAAAATAGTACATTAAACTGTTCGTTAACCAAGTCTTTTTGGTGTTTTTCTCTTCCAAGACTCATGATATGCAGATATGATTACCTCTTGTTCTTTATCGTCACTGAAGGAATTCTTCATAGGTAGGGGATTGAATGAATCCACTGACAGCTCCACCCTTGATCATTCTCAGGAAGGAACCCTGGACTCTTCAGTGGGTTGACTTTCCATTTGCAAATTTTTCTCTGACAGACATACTTCCAAAGAGGATCACAGTAGATGACCTTTGGCTTGGGCTGCTTGTCTTCCTGAATAATAGAAGCCACTTGTAGCCAACACACCAGTAACTACTACTTCCACTTCCAATATTTCAGAAATGTATGAAACCATTCAAGCTGATTCGGAACTCTTGCCCAATGAACAAAATATCCTTAATAAAGGACTTAAGTTTGTCCCTATCAAAAGTAATGTCCATGTCTTTTGCATAATGGAAGATACTGAACTTTTTTTTTCACAGACTGAAAACACATTTTTCCAAAATCTCGGAAACCCATTCTTCTCAAATTACTCCTCCCTGTGATCCCTTCTTGAAATTTTCTTCAAAACACTCCTCATGGACACCACCCTCTGGTGAGTTCATCGCACTTGATTACTTCTTTCGTAAGTGTAGGAATGAAATCAACGAATTCGATTTAAACCTGAAGACTAAATCTAAAAATATCTCTCATGATGAACAATTAGCTTTAAATAGACATAGGTGAAGCCATAGTAGTTTGGTGCAAAGATTTATATATAACTTGAAACTTTGAGACAACTTAACAACAGTACTTTCTACACCCCTCTTCAAGACAATTTCTGACTTCAAAAACCTAGTAACGTCTACAATTCAAGGTATGATCAATGCTATCAAATTACTCACTACAGCCAAGAATCTCATTGTAAAGGAACCTAGAACTCTAACTTTCTATCTTCTCCCTAAAATCCACAAAGACTGAAATCTGGGCAGACCCATTGTATCTGCATGCAGTTGCCCTACAGAGCAAATTTCGAGTTACCTTGACAAAGTTTTATCACCATTTGTCATGAATTTACAGATACACATAAAGGACACCACTCATGCCATTACTTTAATCATGAACACACATTTAACTGGTAATGAACACTACATCTTCACCATGGATATAAAATCATTGTACACATCTATCACAATTGTACACAATGAGGGTTTAATTGTACTAAAACATTTCTTAGACCAAAGACCCATACTGGACCCTCCAACACATACACACTTCTATGTTTAGCTGAACTTGTACTTACACTTAGCACCTTTATTTTTAATGGTAACTACTACAAACAAATCTGCAGAGTCACTATGAGAACTAAATCGGGCCCCACCTTTGCCAACCTCTTTGTTGGATACACTGAAAATCTTGTATTTAATCAATACAATGGAGCAGTACCTGTGATGTATCATCGCTACATTGACATGACATACTAGGAATTGCATCCATGCCTAAATCTGATTTAGAAACTTTTCTACACTTTTCCACCCCTCTTTATAATTTACTTGGGAAATATCCAACACAACACTCCCCTTTCTCAACATTAACATATACATACAAGACGACCACCTGACTACTAGTATACATTACAAAGAAACACATTCACACACGTACCTACATTTCAAATCTTCCCACCCATACAGTAACAAAAAATCAATACTTTACTCATAGTTTCTACGACTATTCAAACTATGTAGTGATGATAATGATTATAAATCTAAATCCAAACACATGAAGATATTTTTCTCTAAAAGACACTACCCTGATTCTCTCATCCCCGATGCAGCTACCAAAGCTAGCTCATATACCCAGGAGCAAACACTCAACCCTACCAAGAAAGAATACATTGATCGTATTC